GGTATCTTGGGAGTCAGCATTGCATCTTGAGCCTAGGCAGCTGGATGGCAGCTTTCAGGGTGAGGTACTAGACAGCAGGTCTGGACCTTGAGCCTGTGCTTAGGGAGCCCCTAGGCTGGGGCAGTGGCTGGACTCAATCAAGCTCCAGATGCTTTGATTCCCCTCACAGTCTGGTGTGTGGCTGGCAGGGGCACTTGGCCAGATCTGTGACCCCAGATCTGTGTTTGTGGGTTTGATTCATTTTGTTTTTGCTGCACATTCATGATTTGATGGTTGGCTGTTGTGTGGTGCTGTCTGTTGTAGACCACCTCTCACCTAGGATTAGGTACAGTGTCTCCTCAACACTTATAAAAGGGAGGTGTTTCTGTTAATTCAAGGAACTATGTATTTTTTTTTAACACCCTCCTCCCCATTTTGGACCTAGAATAAGAAAAATGTTTGTCTTGCTCTCTCCTTTGTCATATTGGCTTTATAGCGCTTTATAGTTTGCAGTTCATAGAGCAAATCTGTATTTGGTAAGTCTGACTTAGCTTTGCCCATTTCACTGTGGGGAGATGTCAGCTAATGCCTGGGCTCTCAACCGGGAGGCCATAACAGGTTCCAAGGAAGTTGCAGCCAGCTTCCCTTTAAGGTTAGATTGGTGGTAGGTCCTGACACTCTTCTTAACCAGGGGTCACACTATGGAAAATGTTGAGAATCACTGTCTTAGTGCCCTCCTTTTGTGCAGGGACTTCTTGAAATCTTTTTTTCTTCCCTGTTGACTGTGGGTTTTTTTTTTTTTTTTTTAATGTTGGTCCAGTAACCTGGGCATCATTCCATTTTTGGTGATAACCCACTGGTCAGAAGGTTGTAGAGACTTGCATGTGGTGATTTTATAGGAGTAAGTTGTCTCCAATTGGATTCTGGTTTGGATCCTTGAGTCTAGTGCTTTATGGAGGAAGGGAGTGCTTTCAGGGTTGTTGGTGCTTTCTGTATGTTGACTAGGAGGAGCCCACTCTGTTCTGCTCTGCAGCCATTGTTGCAGGGGTTCCTGTGTACATATAATGCTTGTCTGCAGAACGGTAGGTACAGGGTTACTGTTGAGATTTTGTCCAAGTTGGTGGCACTGGCTGTTAAAGATGGTTTTGCTCACATTGAATTATGCCACTGCATAACTTTAGTGGAGGGTTATCTATCTGGTGGCGTTATTTATGGCATAGCTGGCCTGCAGATTTTTTTTTCTTGTGATGCTTTCATAGCCAATTCTATGCCACTATCATGATGTTTACTTTGTTTGGGTTGCTTTGTATCTTTATCTAAACTAGCATATGAAATGCAGGGATGACGGACCAGATCTAGCATGTGGCTGAATCCTAGACTGACTTTGCTGAAAACCACATGGTATAAAAGCAGCACAGCACAAAGTTCAGCCTCTTGATGGATTGAGTCCATTATCCCTTGCCAACATCTTATCCCTGCCCAATTTTGCTGTTCTCTGATGCTGGGGGAAGACCTGGGTTTGGTCCTCTGCTCCCCTCTGCCTGAAGGTAGGTTGAGGTAGAACAGGAAACCACCACTCAAAGTAGCAAAAGACTTGAGGAAAAAGCCTTTTGTTCCTGAAACTAGAACACAATAAATCAAGGGGACCTGCCTTAAAGAAACTTGGAGTGCTCTTTTAATTAAAAAAAAAACCCCAAATCCCAGAATTGCTAAAAGGAAATGGAGGGAGGGAAGAAGAGACCTCTGAGATGCTTCATAAATCACATGCTGAGTGGGTTGAACTGAGGAACATCTGCTCCAGGTCCCACTGTGAGGGAGAGCACCATAGTGGACTGAATGTCCATGTGTGAAAGCAGATAGAAGGCTGCTGATTTGGAGAAGGAAAACCCCTTCTGGGGAATAAAACAGGCCATTTCCTGCGCCCACCCAAAATAGAGCCAGATTAAGCCCAACTCAATCTATCACTTTTAAACATCTTTTTTTAAATGTTGTGGGGCCGAGACTGGTTTTCTGGTGCTGAATGCTTGACATCAGTGGGGGAATTTGCTAAACATCTCCAATGTTTATACACAACTGCGAGGTGTCTGGGAACTAAACAGAAAGCACTGGAAGTATTAGTGTAAAGCTAAATTATGACTTAACTGGCATCAGAGACTTGGAGTGATAAATCTCCAGATTGGGATATTTGTACAGTGGGCTATAGCTTGACAAGGAAGGACAGGCAGGGGAAAAGGGAGGTACATTATGCATCAAGAATATATATGCTTTTTCTGAGGTCCAAAAGATGGTGAGAGGCAGACCAGTTGAAAGTCTCTAGGGGAGGGGGAAAAAAAAGACCACCAAATCAAGAAGAGGATGTGGATGAGACATTTCTAGAACAAATAACACAAATATCCAAAATACAAGACCTAGTAGTAATGGGGGACTTTACCTACAAAACCTAAGGTTGTCTACATTAGAGAGCTTACAGTGGCACAGCTGTACAGAGAGCTCTCTTGTTGACATAGCTACCACCTCTTGTTGGGGGGTGGCTTAATTATGTTGGTAGGAGAAGGTCTCCCACTGACAGCACTGTGAACACTACCCCTTATGCTGGTGAAACTGTGGCTCGGGGCATTTCTTCACACCCCTGAGCAACATAATGTTTGCTGACATAAGTGGTAGTGTAAACATGGCCTAATTCAGCAAAACACAAAATTTCCATTAAGCTCTTGGAATGTATTAGAGAACTTAGTTTCAGAAAGTGGTGGAAGTAACCTGGGGGTGGCCATTTTAGACTTCTTTCTGACCTACAGGGAGGGATTGGTTGTGAATCTGATGGTGGAAGACCATTTGGGTGACAGTGGCTGATGATAAATTTCATGATCTTAAGGAAAGGAAATGAGAGCAGCAGAATAAGGACAATGGACTTCAAAAAGCAGACTTTAATATACTCCAGATAGTTGGTAAGGTCCCATGGGAAGAAAATCTAATTGATAAAGGAGTTCAGGAAAACTTGCAGTTTCTCAAGGAGACGATAGTCCAGGCACAACCACAAACTATCCTGATACTATTCTTCCTATCTCTCCTTTGTAAGAGGCCAATTGGGCTCCATCAGGAGTTTCTTTACCTGAAAATCAAAAAGGAATTCCACAAAAAGTGGAAACATGGATGAATTGCAAGGAGGAATACTACAAAAAGTGGAAACATAAAGGGACAATCAGAAAAGCTACAGCACAAAATGAGCTACACCTAGCAATGGACATAAAGAACCTGTTATTTCCTTTTAATACATTGGGAGTAGACAAAGGTGAAGGAAAGCATGGGCCCTCTACTTAGTGGGGAAGGAGAGCTAATGATTGACTTCAAGAAGTCAGAGTTCAGTGCCTATTTTGCTTCAGTCCAGGGTGGATTAAAAATCAATGCTTGGTTTTTAAAATTCTAAAAACGGGTTTATTTTTTTTATTTTGCTCAAAGGTTTTTTGTTGGAAAAACCATCTGAATAGTCATAATTAAGTAAAAAGAAAAGGAGGACTTGTGGCACCTTAGAGACTAACCAATTTATTTGAGCATAAGCTTTCGTGAGCTACAGCTCACTTCATCGGAGTGAGCAGTAGCTCACGAAAGCTTATGCTCAAATAAATTGGTTAGTCTCTAAGGTGCCACAAGTCCTCCTTTTCTTTTTGCAAATACAGACTAACACGGCTGCTACTCTGAAACCTATAATTAAGATACATTATAACTCAAAGATCTCCTCATGGAATAGGGATTATAAAGTGTAATTCTATAGTATGAGACAATATATTCATGTAACGTTTAAGAAAAGTTTTTGTAAAGGAGTTCCAATAGTTCATGGATTAGGGACTGAATCCTATGGGGTTCCAGGGGCTTCTGTATAGATTATTTAGGTTAAATTTTCTATCTACCCAATGGGACTCTGCCATCAGAGATGCTTAGTTTTGCAGTTCTCAAATTGGATTTGTGTCTCCAGAGAACATACTTAACAGCAAAAAATGTTTTAAAATAATATATAGGGGTGAGACATAACAGACCTCAATCCTATTGTCCACAGATTTGCAGAGGGACACAGTCAATCCCTTACCTCTCTAGAAATGCAAAACTTCAAAAAGTTCAATGAATAGAAGATTGTTGGGTGTGGAATAGATCTGGACAAGGAGAAGTCTGGAGATAAATGTGAGAAGGAAGAGACAGGCAGTAGAAACAAAAGTGAAACTGTTTTTGAGCATCATATTCCAGAAGTCTTGAGGTCTTCCTGAGTGTAGCCTTCATTGATTTGAGATCTACCATACCATTCTCTTCCTAGAAGGGAACCTATAATGGCAGCAGGCTGTAAAATATTCCCAGTTTGGGAATATTTTAATGAAGTTTCTCTATCATAGAATATCAGGGTTGGAAGGGACCTCAGGAGGTCATCTAGTCAACCCCCTGCTCAAAGCAGGACCAATCCTCAACTAAATCATCCCAGACAGGGCTTTATAAAGCCTGACCTTAAACCCTCAAAGGAAGGAGCTTCCACCTCACTAGGTAACCTATTCCAGTGCTTCACCACCCTCCTAGTGAAAAAGTTTTTCCTAATATCCAACCTAAACCTCCCCACTGCATCTTGAGACCTATTACTCCTTGTTCTGTCATCTGCTACCACTGAACAGTCTAGATCCATCCTCTTTGGAACCCCCTTTCAGGTAGTTGAAAGCAGCTATCCAATCCCCCCTCACTCTTCTCTTCTGCAGACTAAACAATCCTAGTTCCCTCAGCCTCTCCTCATAAGTCATGTGTTCCAGTCCCCTAATCATTTTTGTTGCCCTCCGCTGGACGCTTTCCAGTTTTTTCCACATCCTTGTAGTGTGGGGCCCAAAACTGGACGCAGTACTCCAGATGAGGCCTCACCAATGTTGAATACAGGGGAACGATCATGTCCCTCGATCTGCTGACGATGCCCCTACTTATACAGCTGAAAATGCCATTAGCCGCCTTGGCAACAAGGGCACACTGTTTACTCATATCCAGCTTCTTACCCACAGGTTCTGCGGAAAAGGACCTAGGGGTTACAGTGGACAAGACAGACAGGCATGCCTGCAAAATGCAGACAGTGCAACAAAGAAATGCAAGGCCTGGTTGCCCAAAGGAAACAACATCCTGAGAAGTGTTCCTTCTCAGGAGGAAGCTCCGTTGAAGATGATGAAAGGAACATGACTGAACATGCAGGATCTTCAGGTTGGTAAACTTTTTTTATTTCATACTTGTTTCTTAAGGACTGCCTGTCTTCCTTCTGGACTATTCTTGAATTCTCATGTTTGAGCAAAAAATATAGTTGTTACTCGATGGTACTAGCATTTTAGATGCAGTTGTGATAAAAATAAATAGCTGAAATAGGCAGATCTTCCTTTTACAATTTCACCTTTAAAGTAGTACAGAGTGTCAGTGGATGCAATGAGTAATACTAAAAACAGGATGATTAAATAACTACAGTGACTTATTTTGTTTAGGAGAATCCATCCTCAATATGCAGGATTCTGAAGACTATCCACCTTTAAGATCACCATTTTCTATAGTTTTAGAGTTATCTGCCAATGATAGTGTTTGTCATATCATGTATGTCATATAGCCACAGTATATCACCTGTAGCAAAAGGGGGGGGGGGGGAACACAACCTTGTCTATGGCTGTTTCTGGATGATGGAGATAAGAACTAGCAGATTATGAAAAGAGGTAATTGATGAGAAAATTGCCTGGTCTGTTATGCAACAGACTCTCCTTTTTCATATGATTTGAGAACCCACACTTCATTAAAATGGTTCAGTCATTAAGACCAGGATACCGTCCACCCAACAGAGCAGATGTTGCAGGCAAATAACTGGATAAAGTGTATGAAAGAGAAATTGAGCAGCGTGCAAAAGGTCTAGAGGGTGAAATTGTTAACCTGACTCTTGATGAGTGGAGCACGGTCCACAATGACTTTGTTTGTGCTTGTGGGTAAGGAAGCCATTCCCTTCTGTTGTCAGAAACAATTGATACATCAGGAAATGCACAAACAGCAGAAAAAGCTATAACAAACTGGGGGGGGGAATTCAAATGTCTAGTATGCAGCTTGGTCACAGACAATGCTGCAAATGTATCCAAGATGAGGAGAAATTTAGAGAGTGAAGAGTCCCAAGCTAATAACATATGCTTGCAGTGCTCATTTGATTCACCTCCTAGCCCAAGACTTCAGTGTTGAAATTGCAAAATACTTCCATCACAACCACCATGCAGCAGCTGCTCTGAAAAAAGTGGGAGGAACCAAGCTAACTCTCCTCCAAGATGTGCGATGGAATTCAGTAGTGAACTGTCTTGAGCACTATATCAAGAACTGGCCTAATCTGATAGTGTGAATAAAATAATGAAAAAATAAATGGTACTGTCACAGCCAAAGTTCTCAACATTGGGCTTAAGAGAAATGTTGAACACATGCTGAGTACCTTGAGCCTATTGCTGTAGCCTTGGCTTAACTTCAATATAGGAACATGTTGTTGAACAGTCCATTTGTAAGCACCTAGAGGATAATGGGGTTATAAGGGAATAGGCAGCATGGATCTGTCAAGAGCAAATTATGCCAAACCAGCCTAGTTTCCTTCTTTGACAGTATTTTTGGCCTAGTGCAGTAGGGGGAGGAGCAGTAGATGTATGATGTACCTTGATTTTTAGAAAGACTTTTGACACCATTTAAACCTGGGTATGTTTCTTCTTGAGACAAGAAGACCTGAGGGGAACCTGAGAAGTCTTCACATCTGTTAAAGGCTGTTTATAAAGAGAATGATCAACTTTTCTCTACAGCTCCTGATGGTAGGACAAGAAATGGGCTTAATCTACAGCAAGGAAAAGAGTAGTTAAACTCTGGACTAGGCTTCCAAGGAAGGTTAGGGAATCCCTATCATTTCTTAAGTAAAGATTAGACAAACACCTGTCAAGGATCTAGGTTTACTTGGTCCTGCCTCAGCACAGGGGCCTTGACTAAATGACCTCTCCAAGTCCCCTCCAGCCCTATATTTCTGAGTCTAGTGCTGTGAAGACAACTGTTTAGTCCCCACTCCTTGGATTTTTGACTTCCCACCTGCATTGTCCAGCCCCAAGACTGCTGTGACAGCAGATGGCTCAGCCCTGGGAAGGATGGGGAGAGATGGAGATGAAGGAAGGGCCTTGTATTTCTCAACAGTACTGCCTCAACCAGATTGAGGCAGCTTTTTTTGAACTTCTAAGGGAGTCCCATCCAGTAATAGGTGGCTGCTACAGCACTTGTTTGTTCCTGCTTCTGTGGCTGGTGAACAAGGATGGAGCAGGCAAAGGGCCAGGTACCAAGCAGAAACAGCACGGTGCTAATGTGAGCATCAGAGAGTCACAGTAAGGAAACTAGCATTCTGGGGGAGAGTGTCAGAGATCTCCTAGAGAAGATACATCCCCTGCAGCTCTACAGGCATGTCAGGGGCTGCCTGTGGGGGCCATGGGGCTGACTGGAGCAGCTTTTGCTTGGCCTAGATTTATGCCAAGCAAGCAGAGCACTAATGACACCTAAGCTCCCTCACTCATGTGAGAGATCTCTCCAAGTAGACGGGGTGGGTGGGGGGAGAGAACACACCAGAAATTGGCCACAAAGGGGGGTGGAGCAAAGAAGTAGGGGGAGATGCTGGACCTGCTGCAACTCCATTTATTTAGGTGGGGATTATACCAGGGATGAATGTGCCCTTGCATCACATGGGTGTTGCAGAACCATAATATAGTCATGGTGCAACAGCTAGGCATTGCTGGTACATCTTCACAAGAAGCCCTCATGGCCTGAGCATTTGGTTCCCCTCACTGTCCCATAGTAGGCACCCTCCAGCAATGACATTTGGAATAGCTACTAGGTCAAAAGTGTGCTGCAATTAGCTATGCCAGTATTATGCCTTTGTTTTCAGTGTGCTGTGCCAAGCTGTTAAATTCTAAGGGCTCTATCATGTGCAGATGTTTTCTGTTTGTTTCAGAGCAGACATAGGGGAGATGCACAAACCTGTCATTCTCTCTTGCTGGGAGACTTTCTTTCTTCCCTTTGACTTGGTCTCAATCTACAATAAAGGTCACCCAGATGGGAAATACTTTGCTCTTTGTGTATGGAAAAACATGAAAGGTTGTCAGAAATCTCCATCTTTGGGGTTTTGGTGCCTCCAACACCTGGGCAGTGTATTTATTAAACATGGCCGAGAATAACTAGGTGTATGTAAGAAAAAAGATACTTAGCTGCCTTTCATCTCCAGAATGCTTTAGAGACATGAGCTAGCTAGTCTGTAAATACACACTGTCTGCAATGGGTTCAACCTTCTGCCTTCACTGTGAAACCAATGGACTGTCCAGCAAAGCTGACAAAAGCCCCATATCTTGTAGAACAGGTCCCTTTTGCCTTTCAGCCGACCTCTGGCTACTCCCCAGTTCTTTTCTCTGCTCAAAGTGTGTGGTGTCTCTGTCTCTGCTTCCCTCCCTCGCTGGCCAAGATCAATTTCACTAAATGAATCATAGTCTAGTGGAAACTCCCTATGAACTTTGCCAAGAATTGCAAAGTTGATGAAAGAGCAACGTTCAGCCAAGAGGAGCTTTGCGTGGTTCTTACTGGTTGGGACCAGCAGAGGTTCCCATTAGAGCTGGTGCCTATAGGCCATGAGGGTCGTGGTTGGTGTCTCAGCTGAGATTTGTGCCCACATACACACAGTGAGTCTAGCCATGGTTTAGAGGGCACAAGTAGTGGTTATCTAACACAACTGGCCCTGTAACATTGTTACTGGAAGCCTCTCTCCATACCTGCCTTCCCTGGCAGCCACAGATCATTTCTTTAGGTCTCTCTACCAGGCTTCTCCTGTTTGCAATTGATGGAATTTTAATTCAGAGCATTTCCCATCCCTCCAGATTAGCAACACCGTACCATTTATTCTTCACACTACTTTGGAATTTGCATTTAGCCTAAATCTGGCTTTAAACCTTGCTTCCCACAGCAATGACACTCTGGTTGTGTGGACTTCACAGGTGATGGTGCAACAGATGTGGTCCAATAGATAGGGCACAAGACTGAGGGTATGTCTACACTACGAAATTAGGTCGAATTTATAGAAGTCGGTTTTTTAGAAATCGGTTTTATATATTCGAGTGTGTGTGTCCCCACAGAAAATGCTCTAAGTGCATTAACTCGGCGGAGCGCTTCCACAGTACCGAGGCTAGAGTTGACTTCTGGAGCGTTGCACTGTGGGTAGCTATCCCACAGTTCCCGCAGTCTCCGCTGCCCATTGGAATTCTGGGTTGAGATCCCAATGCCTGATGGGGCTAAAACATTGTCGCGGGTGGTTCTGGGCACATATCGTCAGCCCCCCATTCCCTCCCTCCCCCCCGTGAAAGCAAGGGCAGACAATCATTTCGCGCCTCTTTTTTCCTGAGTTACCTGTGCAGACGCCATACCACGGCAAGCATGGAGCCCGCTCAGCTCACTTTGGCAATTAGGAGCACATTAACCACCACACGCATTATCCAGCAGTATATGCAGCACCAGAACATGGCAACGCGATACCGGGCGAGGAGGCGACGTCAGCGCGGTCCCGTGAGTGATCAGGACATGGACACAGATTTCTCTGAAAGCATGGGCTCTGCCAATGCATGCATCATGGTGCTAATGGGGCAGGTTCATGCTGTGGAACGCCGATTCTGGGCTCGGGAAACAAGCCCAGACTGGTGGGACCGCATAGTGTTGCAGGTCTGGGACGATTCCCAGTGGCTGCGAAATTTTCGCATGCGTAGGGGCACTTTCATGGAACTTTGACTTGCTTTCCCCTGCCCTGAGGCGCATGAATACCAAGATGAGAGCAGCCCTCACAGTTGAGAAGCGAGTGGCGATAGCCCTGTGGAAGCTTGCAACGCCAGACAGCTACCGGTCAGTTGGGAATCAATTTGGAGTGGGCAAATCTACTGTGGGGGCTGCTGTGATGCAAGTAGCCCACGCAATCAAAGATCTGCTGATATCAAGGGTAGTGACCCTGGGAAATGTGCAGGTCATAGTGGATGGCTTTGCTGCAATGGGATTCCCTAACTGTGGTGGGGCTATAGACGGAACCCATATCCCTATCTTGGCACCGGAGCACCAAGCCGCCGAGTACATAAACCGCAAGGGGTACTTTTCGATAGTGCTGCAAGCTCTGGTGGATCACAAGGGACGTTTCACCAACA